TTTAACGCTGTCTCTTATACACAATCTAGATGTGTATAAGAGACAGACCGCGTCTTTTGCCAAGGGATACAAGGCGCAATAAAAATAAATAAAAAAGATAACCAATTGGTGATCAACAAAGACACCAGAAATGACAAAAAAAAAACGAGAAAATTTGGACAGTTAAGTGAGATTTACTTAAGGAACAAATGATGAAAACCATGATAACAAGAAGCATGTTGTAACTTGCTAGGAAGACTATTTCAAAGCCTAGGTGAAGCAATTGAAAAGGTCTTATCACCAGCTTTTTAATTAGACCGAGGTATACGAAGACAATGAACCAGACGAACGAAGATTATGGCCATTGCGATATTGTTGCCTAGAGATAAGTGTACAGATGTAAGCAGGGGTACTGTTTTGGCAATTAATTGAACAAAATGTGATGGAAAGTGTACGAAAAATAACTCTCTGTCTAATCAGATCTGCAACCAATGAAGTTGCCGGAGTAGTGGACTAGCAGTATGAAATTTAGGAAGGCGAAACAATACAATATACTGTAAACACTTTCTGTTTATCTTTGTTATTGACTGTTTAATTTTAATGTTTAACTGCACCCACAGAAATATATATATATATATATATATATAAAATATATGTATATATATATATAGGCCTATATATATGTATATATAATATATATCGGCCTATATATATATATATGGCTGTGTGTATTTATATAGGTATATACTATCGAGATATATTTGTTGAAAACCTTAATTTAATTCCCCAGATAAGCACGATTCATGACACAATTCTAACGATCATCAGCTACGCAGGGGGAGCTGTTTCAGTTGCTTCGCTTGTACTTGTGATCGGTCTCACATTCTACTTAAAGTATGATTCTACAGACAATATTTTTTTACATTTCTTTCACACAGAACGTCGAGTACATAACTCACCATGCTGTTGGTGATGATGATGATGATGATGATGATGATGATGATGATGATGATGATGATGATGATGATGATGATGATATGATGATGATGATGATGATGATGATGATGATGGTAATAATGATGATGATGACAATGATGATGATGACCGTCATAACGATGGCGATATTAATGAAGTTTATGATGAAGATGAGGACGATGAGGATAATTATAAAAAATAGTGATGACGTTGATGACGATTAGATAATGCTAAGCAAAATCATATACCGTATATCTCTCTGTGACATGTATTATTATTTTGTTTGAAACCATCTCAGAGAATTAGAGAAGTCCGATCACGTGTTGATAATGAAAAATTTGATGATTACATTGGCACTTGGACAAACTATATTCCTGGTAGGCGTCGACAGAACCGAATCTATGGTGAGTGGATCCTTTCAATAGTATATGCCCTATGGATGTATTATAATAATACCTTCAAGTAATGTAGGTTGTCGAGTTTAAATTTGCCCCAATTGTAGTTGAAACCCCACGCCCTGTGTACGGTGCTTCTTGTGGTAATTTGAGCAGTACACTGGGAGAAAATCCCTTACTCTTTCCCAAAGAGTGAACTGCGTTCTTTAACGTGCACATCGGCTACATTGCACACTGTACCAACGGCTTGAACATCTCATCCGCGCTCTCTCAATAGTCAAAGATTTGAAAGGATATATCGTTTAAGATTTTGAACTGGTATTGTTTTTTTTAATATTTTTAAATATAATAAATACATTTCACGCAATATGAAAGCAGAAAAGTATTAAACAACAGGAGAGTAGACTTTAATACTAGCGATCAGTGTCTCAATTATTTGCTATATCTGTTCGGGTATGGTCCTGTTGTTGGGAATGTCATGAAATATAAAATCTTGGTGATTCTGTCCTTATGGGTTCGCCCATGGACCCTAATCCTTGTCGCCCCGACCCATTGCCTAACAGCCGAACCTAACTTGCAAGGTCCTTTCGTCTAGAACTTTCCCTTTCCCACGTGGGGGAAATTATCCTGGCGCCATCGCTGGTCTTCGCTTCGCAGATAGATCCAAACTTTGTGCTTAATTCATTTTCAACAATATTTGGTATATTAAATACGGTATAATAGGCCTACTCTTATTTTCTAACAGATTGTATGTAAAGGAGTGGCACTTATTTTACACTACCTCTTCTTGGCCATGTTTATGTGGATGTTCAATGAGGGACTATATCTTTACCGCCGCCTTTGGTTGGTTTTCGGCATTAATTCGACCAGTTCTCGTGAGTATAAGTACACAGGTTGGGCTATTCCAGGTGTTTATGTCGCAATCTGCTTCATAATGCGATTCAGTGAGTACGGAACAGAAGAAAGGTACGCACATGCACAGAGCATCTATTGTTGTGCTCATATTACATCATAATAATAGGCCTACTATTAATATACTACAGTATTATTACTATTTTATTATTATTATTATTATTATTATTATTATTATTATTATTATTATTATTATTATTATAATGGTCATTATTATTATTATTATTATTTATTATTATTATTATTATTATTATTATTATATAAAATCAAATTAATTACACTATTATTAAGTTTAAGTATAATTCATTTGAGTTTGATATTATACCTTTTATAAATATGACGCATAACACACAGTGTTAGAATATCTTGATTCCCTCCATGATTAGTAAAGAATGATTAAATAAAAAATACATTATATGCTATTATAATGATATATAGAGTGTCTTTGTTTAAAATATTACTGATATGAAATACAGTAAGACTTATCCAAAAATAGTTTGTAATAAAATTAATTATACATAATGGTTAGGCACTATAAATCAATAATTTACTCGTATGTTGTTGTTTTGCAGTTGTTGGCTGAGTCAAGAAAATGGGCTAGTATGGACGTTTGTTGGTCCTGTCTTGGTTATCATTGTTGTAAGTTTCCTATTAGCCTGCAAAGCTATGAATCTGACACTTCATACTAAATAATTCTCCATTAAATAATACTAGTTTAGTAATTATATCGCGTATATTTTATTTTACATTGCATCAACTATAAATTTAGTTTAGTGGCCTCAATTGTAATCCTTAATCCGAAAACATATTTTACAAGTGTTTAATTGGATTTTTTTCATTATTGTACATTATACTGTATTGACGAACTCTCCTCACCTTCTGTCTACACTCATGTATTGTATATAAATTTGCAAAGTTAAACGAGACAATAAATGAAAAAGAAAATTCCTTCAAAATCCAACATGGGCGGTCTTTCACCAGCCTCATAGACCTCACGTAGGCCAATATAAATATTAATATTAATTTTTGTGTCATATTGAAATCATCATGATCATGATCATCGGAGTATTTAACCGTGGGACATAGGATTAAGTCATTTGTACTTAAATTTAAGGCGAGGCACCCAACCATAAAACAAACTCAAAATAATCATATTCTTTAACATTTTATTTGCAGATGAACGTGATTTTATTGTTGCTTGTTGCACGCATCATTATCAAAGCTTCTAAAGAAGTGGGAAGTACTTACGATCGCGTAAAGTACGTATTACTGTATTTCACATCATCATAATATTTTTTTAATTATTTATTATTGTTGTTATAATGTGTTTTATTACTGGGGATATTACAGTTATTAATAATTTTCTAATGTGTGTTATTACATGATAGGAAAAACACGCGGAAGTCGATCCTGGTCCTACCTGTACTTGGTCTGACGTGGATATTTGGAGTACTGATCATGGAACCGGTTATCATAGCATTCACGTACCTCTTCGTGATTTTCGTGTCCTTCCAGGGTCTTCTAGTTGCAGTGTATTGCTTTACAAGCACCGAGGTAAGAAAATATTAATTTGCACACGTGACCAGACTGCGTGTGAAATGCTCCCTGTGTATGGGCATTATCGACTCAACTCGGCTGCCGCGTATGGATCACCAATATAGGTTTTGTGGCTAGTATTATTACACATCTTATAAAAATATATAATTTATCGGAGTGAAGTAGTAGTCAAATGGGGAAAATGGGAATATGAAGTTATATAGGCCTATGGTCAAACATTAGCAAATTCAAACAGTGCCCATTTTTAAATACAGACCCATTAGTAATGGACGAAAAATATAATGATGATCTTAACTTTACGGTATTTATTTTTTATCACTACACAGGTCCAGACTGCATGGATTAACAAACGAGCAGAGAATTCACCCATCAAGCAGGCAACATGGGCGACTAAGAGGACCAACTCAGTCAGCTCATTGGTAAGCATGTCATTTAAATGCTTATTGTAATAAAATGGCATTTTTGAAACAGGAATGAACTGGTATCCTCTTATTATTTTTAATATTATTTTTAATATCTATATCATGTCGTATTGTTCACGCTGACGTCATAACAAGATCAGATGACGTCAGCGTGAGCAAGACGGCATCAGTGGTTGAAATCTTCCTTGGTAAGATTATAATGTTTAATGAGTACCGTATGTAGGCACTACAGTATTTATTATTCAATCAATTCAATTCAAACGTAATTTATTCCAAATCAATTAACATAAAACTGTACAAATTCAAATGCATCAAATGAAATGAGATGGAATAGGACAACCACAACCAAGCAAAATACAGCTTTAAACTGTGGTGCCCTTTAGATAAAAATAAATACATTAATCAATCAATAATCAATTAAGCAATTGATTAGCTAATCAAACATTACAGGTAATTTAGTAAATAAATAAATAAAATAAATAGTAATAATATGAAATTAATGTCATGTTATGGTACTTTAAATACACAATGATAAATTAGATAATTAAAAATTTAATAGTAAAACATTCGCAAATACAGAATTTTTTTTATACAACAGAGGCCTTGATTATATTTATATTTTTAGATGAATACATTATTATTACTATTTTTTCTAGTAATTCATTATCAACTAATTCAGCCAAAATAAAAACAGCTGATTCCATTTTTTTTTAAATTTTATATATTAAAATACACGCACTAACAAAATAAGAGGGATCAATCAAAACAAATAATTTGGAGACAAAAATATTATTTATACTAATAAAACATTAAGGTATGAAAATTCGGGATATATTCAAGCAGTTGTAACGAATATATATATCTTAATCAGTCTATAAAGACTTAATAATGCAATATAAAATGGTAGAACGATTTGATTGTCAAATTTTAAATAAAAAATTTTAAAAATTACTATATTCAGCATGGCATGCCGTCCTATCAGGGTGATACATTTTATGAGGATTTCGGTAAAATTGTACCCTACCGAATACAGTTTGGGTATCGGCCTAATATTGCGGACTCGATGTCCAAGAAGAGAGCTCCAAAGTGTATAGATCGAGAACTGTGTCAAAATAATGAGGTAAGTGTCGATTGATAATCACACGATTTATTTAAGTTGATTGAGGTAAACAAATAAATTCATGGCATCAAAAATACATGCTATACAGTATTTTTCGTCTCTATTTCAGATGCGATCACCACCGCCCTCATACGAGGATACAGTTAAAACCATGGTACGCGAAGAAACCAAGTAATACGCCCGCCTGCTACATCATTGTCACGTTTCAGTAGGCTATGAATCTTTGGCATGTCATAGGACTTATCAGATTATTATTTTTTGGATTAATAACAACTTGAAACCTGAAACACTTTAAACAAAGATGCCAACAGATTCAACACGGACTACAAATGGCTAAACCATAGGCTATAATACAATTTTTTTGTTGGGACAATTATTATCTCATTCACCAACCAAAGAAATCAACAACTTTGCAAGAACCGTTGTGAGGATTTATTATTTTATTTTTATTACAGCAAATTAAATAGTTTGTAGGACAATGCAATTAAGTTCAAGTTGATTGTGTTGATTTTGATATTGTATAATGTTTGACCATGTTTTACAAAAATCTCAATTTCAAAATATTATATGAATAAACAAACAATATTATCAAAACCTCCTATCACTAGGCCATTTCAAAAGAGTAGTTAGGCTATTTATTCAAACATCATATATGTTGGATTTAGCGCAATCACAGCACTATATTTTCAAGGTGTGGCAGCCCATTCCAACTTCCCAACTCTAAATTGTAACTAAAGTAACTGAGTCTATGGTATGTATGTTATAGTAAAATAAATATTTTGTATTTTGGTTTGCGCAATATGAGATTATCTGCCATAGTGTACAGTATATTATTTTTAACCTATAAGTAATTAATATAATAATAATATGTTTGATTTACCAATAACCAACCCAATATTTTATGTGCATTGAAAGACTATAAACGATAGCCATGCGGCTTAAAACAAGCACAGTTTACAGGTAAAGATCATAGGCCTAAGTCACTGTAAGTTCTTTTATATCGTATGGAATGTAACAGGAATAATCATGATGAGTCAATACCACCATGCCAGTAGTTATATCAGTATGCATTGCAATAATGATGTCTGTGTATATATAAATGTAGGCCCTATGTATATATAAATATATATATATCAAATTAAATTGTTGTTAGTCCTAAATTGTGTTGCTGAGGATGTATAATGCATAATGACGTTTTGATTTCTTGACTGATGATTGACCTTTCCGGAGTGTCAATCAAACTTAACAACCGACTAATCAGAACAGCGCTAGGAATACGCGCGCGTCTTACAAACACACGTGTTGTCCCACAAACGCACGTGTCCGCGTATGTTTTAACACTGCCGTCTTGTCGGACCTTAGCAACAATATTCAAGGGGCGGAGCTTAGCGGAAAGGTCCATTGACTTGGATCGCCATTTGCCATTCCTGCTCAAGTTGGATTTGCTTCTATATTTTATAAATTTCTTTTTTTTATTTCTTCGCTATTCCGTCGCTGTTTCTTCGCTATAGTTTGCGTGTCATCGAACATTATTAATGTTATTATTATTTAATAAATATTATAGTTGTGTTAACATAGAAAGGATTTTGTAGTTTTCATTTATAGTTGCATAAGCCTATCGACTGAGCAGCGCGTAACTGGAACCCGAGCCCCCACGATTAATTAAGTGACTGTTCGCTTACTATCAAGTAGGGGTAAACACCCGCTACATACATATATACATTATTCTTA